TTTATTTAGAAATACTTGGCAAAAAAGATGAAGAAAAATCCTTTTCTTTGTTTGAAAAACCTATTCTGACCTTTTTTTTCGATTATAATCGATGGAATCGTCCATTACGATACATAAGAAAAATAAATAAAAAATTGTCTGTAAGAAAAGAAACGTCACAATATTTTTTTTATACATGTCAAAGTGATGGAAAAAAAAGAATATCTTTTACATACCCTCCCAGTTTGTCAACTTTTGGGGAAATGATAGCAAGAAGGATATCGTTGTCTACATTAGAAAAACTCTCCGCTGATGCACTATACACCGAGTGGCTTTATACCAATAAAGAGAAAAATAACAACTTAAATAATGAATTTATAAATAGAATTGAGGCTTTAGAGACAGTATTTCTTTCTATAAACATACTTGAAACAAAGACTAGATTGTGTAATGTTGAGACTGAAAAAAAAAAGAATTGCCTAGTTAACAAAAAGAATTACCTAGTTAAAATGGATGATCCCTTTTTGACTGGGATGTATCGTGGAAGAATCAATAAATTGTTTTCATCTTCAATCATAAATCAAATTTCGATAGAAAATTGCGCAAAAACATATGAACTAAATAAAATTCATTATAGCCTTCTTCCCTATCCTAATTCTCGAGAATATGAACATAAAATAGATCCTAATTCTCCAGACTATGAACAGAAATTAGAAAAAATCCAAGCCCAAATTGATTTAAAAAATCGGTTCATTTTTTTATGGACCACAATTATAGCTAAACTTAGAGGTCAAAAAAACTCTAGTGGAATAAACGAAATCGGTAAAAAACCCCCTCGATGGTCATACAAATTAATAAACGAGTTACACCAAAATTTTAAAAAACGACGAAAAGAACAAGGCATAATACAAGGGCTGGGACACCAGCTTCGAACAAGAAAATATAAATATATAAATTTTTTAAATCGTTCGAGACCAACTTTAGAAACTTTGAAACAGTCTAATTTAAATAATTCTACTTCTAATATTGATAATTCTAATATTGATAATTCTAATATTGATAAAAAATTGAAAAATAAATATTTGGGTTTTATAAGTTATTTGGAAGAACCAGATTTTCGTCGATCCGTAATCAAAGGATCTATGCGCGCTCAAAGGCGTAAATTGGTTATTTGGGGACCGTATCAAGGAAATCCTCATTCCCCGCTTTTTTTGGAAAAAAAGCAAGATTTCCCTTTTCCTATATCCGACCTAATCAAACTTTTTTTAAATATTAAAGATCGGTTGGGTAAAAAGTCAGAATTCGAAATTTTAAATAAACAATCCCCCCCAAAAAGAAACAACCAGGAAAACATAATGGAATTCTGGGAGACCATTCCACATGGACACAAAACAAGAGGTATTCTGTTACTAGCTCAATCAACTTTTAGAAAATATATTAAATTACCTTTATTGATAATAGCTAAGAATATTGTCCGTATTTTATTACGGCAATCTCCGGAATGGGATGAGGATTTCCGAGATTGGAATAGAGAAATTTATCTAAAATGCAGCTCTAATGGTCTTCAATTCTCCAAAACAAAATTTCCTAAAAATTGGTTAAGCAGAGGTTTTCAGATAAAAATCCTATATCCTTTTCATTTGAAACCTTGGCACAGATCTAAGCTAAGACTCTATGATTCTGATAGAGATCTAAAGCAACAAGAGGATTTTGATTCTTGTTTTTTAACAATTTTGGGAATGGAAACGGAACATCCTTTTGGTCCTCCTCGAAAAACACCTTCCTTTTTTGAACCCATTTTTAAAGATATAGACTATAAAGTCGAAATCAGAAAATTAAATTTTAGAGTTCGAAGAATTTTAAAAAAAATAAAAAAGAAAGAAGCAAAAGCATTTTTCTTTATAAAACAAAAAATAAAAGAACTTTTAAAAGGAAATAAAATTCCATTATTTCTACCGAGAGAAATATATGAATCAAGTGAAACTCAAACAGAAAAGGATTCCATAATCAGCAATCAGATAATTCATGAATCACTTAGTCAAATTCGATCTACAGGTTGGACAAATTATTCACAGGTAGAAGAAGAAATGAAACATAGGATTGATAGAAGAAAGACAATCAGAAATGAAATAGAAATAATGAAAAAAAATAAAATTAATAATGCAGAATCATCCCAAAAAATTTTGAAAATATTAAAAATAAAAAATATTGAATTATTAGTTAAATTTTTCATTGAAAAAATATACATAGAGATCTTTCTATGTATCATTAATATGCGCAGAATCCCTCTACAACTTTTTATCCAATCAACAAAAAAAATTATTGATAATGATAAATACATTAACAATAATGAAACAAATAAAGAAAGGATTAATAAAACAAAACAAAATAAAATTGACTTTATTTTGTCTATGACTATAAAAAGGGCTTTTGATAATCTTAGAAATAGTAAGCGGAAGTCAGATATTTTTTTTGATTTATCTTACTTGTCACAAAAATATGTATTTTTCAAATTATCACA